CTTTCCCCCGTTTTTTGTTCATTTTAGATGTTATACTTCTAAATATCATTATTTAAAAATAAATTTTATGCTCTTATTTTTAGTATGAGGGGAGGATAACATTTTTGCTTTCTTGTGTGACTCTCTGAATATGTGCAGTATGAAGTTCCTCAAAAATAAAATTTTTACCTTGGAAAGGGGAAATAATTTTTTCCTAGATGCCTATCTAGAATCCATTTATTGAATAATTCATTTTGTTAGTAGCTTGAAATATCACATATTTAAATATTAAAACTGTCAATGCCACAGTATTACCATTTTTTTATAACTTGATATATTTTTCTTCTCTTTCAGCATTTTCCTGTTTAATTATGCTTGTTTGTTTTTCTATATGAACTTTACAATCATCTTGTTTAATTCCCAGATAACTCTGTTGGTATTTTTATTGAAATTATATTAAATTTCATGACTAGTCCAGTCGGTGTGGCTCAGTGGTTGAGCATTGACCCATGCACCAAGAGGTCGCCGGTTCGATTCCCGGCCAGGACACATGCCTAGATTGTGGGCCCGACCCCCAGTGGGGGGCATGCTGGAGGCGGCCAATCCATGTTCTCTCTCATCGATGTTTCTATCTCTCTTTCCCTTTCACTTCCTCTCTCTCTAAAATCAATAAAGGAAAAAAAAAAATTTTAAATAAATAAATCTAATGACTAAATCAAGGAGAATTTGCATTTTTATTATGTTGATTTCTTTTCATCAAGAACTTATTTTATAAGCATTTTAAAGCTTCTAATACATCACTCATTTTTTTTATTAAATTTATTTCTAGCTGTTTTATCCCTTTTGTTACAATGGAAGTATTAGTTTACTAAGGCTGCTAAAACAAGATACCACAGACTAGGTGGCTTAAACAACAGTTATGGAGGTTGGGAGGCCAAGATCAAGGTGCCAGCATGGTTGATTTCCTCTGAGGCCTCTCTCCTTGGCTTGTGGATAGCTAGCTGCCCACCCTGATGCTGATTCCTCATATGGTGTTTTCTGTGTGCGTTCATCCCTGGGTCTGTTTGTTCAAATTTCCCTTTCTTATGAGGACATAAGTCAGATTGGTTTAAGGCCTACCTATATGAACTCATTTCCTAATTACCTATTTAAATGCTCTATCTCCAAGTCATATTCTGAGGTACTGGGAGTTAGGACTTCAGCATATGAATTTTAGGGGGACACAGTTCAGCCCACATCAACGGCAAATGAATTTTCTTTCTTTTACCTAGTAATTGTTATTTGTATATCTGAAAGTGATTTTGGTATTTTATTTTGCATCTAGCCACTTTGCTTATGACTTATAATAGTTTTTCCTTTATTCTCTTTAAATGATATTATCTATAAATAATCATTTTCTCTCCTTTATAGTTTTTATACCTTTTTTTTTTTGTCTAGTTGCAGTCAGCACAGTTGATACAAGGTTAATTAAGAGCAGTAGTAGATCCTCATCTTGTATTCCTGACTTTAATGAGAATAGTAGTTTCTGGTGTTCCCATTAAACATGGTACTGACTTTTAGAATAACTAAGTTATTTTGCCACTTTAAGGGCTTATAATCATTTATTTTTTTATTATAATTTTTAATAAATGGATATTTATTATAATATTTAAGAAACAAGAATGGATAATTTTCAAATGCCTTTTTGGCATACATGGAAATGATTATATATATTTTTTCTTTTCGATCCAATAATGTATCAAATTTATAAATCAGTTTGCTAAATTGAACCATCCTTGCTTTTCTATATTTGGTAATGACATATTTTTTTATATATTGATTGATCTTAGAGAGAGGAAAGTGGGGAGAGAGAAAGAAAGAAGAACACTGATTTGTTGTTCCATTTATTTATGCATTCATTGATTGGTTCTTATTTGTGCCCTGACCCAGGATAGAACCTGTAACCTTGGCATATCAAGATGACACTCTAACCAGCTGAACTACCCCGCCAAGGCTATAACATATTCTTTGAATTTGTTGTTGGATTCTGTTTGCATAAACATCCATAAATGAGACATCTATAGTTCCATTGTTTTATCAAGTCTTTTGAGTTAGGTACAATTTTATGCTTGCTTCTAGGGTCAGTTTTGTTTATATTTTCCCATTATTTGTTTTCATTAATTTCCAAATCTATGTGTATGCACTTGAACAAAATAATCTCTTAATGTCGTTTTAATTTTGTTCTTCATAGCTGCTTGCTTATCATTTCTGCGTATATGTGTGTGTGCACATGGGCTCTTCCCTTTGTTGTTTTGATCGGGCTAGAGAATCGGTTATCCACTATTTTTTTCAAATAACCGACTTTTGGGTTTATTAATTAGTTCTTTTTGTCTTCTGACTTCTTTTATCTTTATTAATTCCTTCTATTTCTTTTCCTTAGGTTTGCTTTATTGATAGATAATACAATTAATATTCCTAGTCATTAGTCCATTAATTTGATGTAGGTTTCTTGTTCTGCAGAAATTTTAAGTTTTTAGTAATCAAAACTGTCAATTTTTTCCTTTTATCACTTCTTTGTTTCATATTACTCTTCTAAAAAGGCCTTTTATACCTTCCATTATAAAAATGTTCTTTATGCTTTTCATAGTTTCATGATTTAGTTTTAACTTTCTAGAATTTATTTTTCCTTATTGTGTGAGGTGGTGTCTAAATTATTTTGTTTGCAGGTGGATTGCCAACCATCCCAACATCACTTATTAAACAACCTATCTTGCCCTGGCTGGTTTGGCTCAACGGTTAGAGCGTCAGCCCTCGGACCAATGAGTCATGGGTTTGATTCCGGCCAAGGGCATGTACCTCGGTTCGTCCTGGCCCTGGTCTGTGTCATGTGGGAGGTAACCAGTCGATATGTCCCTCTCACATCGATGTTTCTCTCTCTCTCCCTTTTTCTCCCTCTCTCTCCCTCCCACTTTGTCTGAAGATAAATAGAAAAATATCCTCAGGTGAGGATTAAAAAAAATTTATCTTTTCCTCATTTATTTGAAATACTTATATACCTAACATTTTACATTTATCTTTAGAGATTGTATCAAGTGTATAGGATTATTTGGGGAGATAATTAAAGTGACACCTTTAAAACATTGAGTCTTTACATGTCTTTCAATAGGATCTTATCATTTTCTTTTTATTTCTTATTAGGTCTATTTCTAGGTATCTTACAGTTTTTGTTAAGATTGTAAATTAGAAAAAAAAAAAAAGCCCTGGCTGGTTTGGCTCAGCGGTTAGAGCGTCAGCCTATGGTCCAGAGAGACCCGGGTTCGGTTCCCCCTAAGGGCACATACCTTGGTTGAGTTTGTCCCTAGTCCTGGTTGGGTTGGGTGGGTGGCAGCCACTCGATGTGTCCCTTTCACATCGATGTTTCTCCCTCCCTCCCTCCCTTCCTTCCACTCTATCTGAACAAAAAATGGAAAAATGTCCTTGGGTGAGGATAAAAAAGATAATAATAATAAATAAATTTTTTTTAAAAAGATTATAAATTAACTCCGGTTTGGTTCAGCGGTTAGAGCAGTTGACTTGCAGACTGATGAGTCACAGGTTCAGTTCCAGTCAGGGGCACAAACGTTGGTTGTGGTTTGTCCCCAGCCCTGGTTGGGGTCGTGTGGGGGGCAGCCAGTCGATGTGTCTCTCTCACATCAATGTTTCTCTTTCCCTCCCTCCCACTCTGTCAGAAGATAAACAGAGAAATATCCTTAGGTGAGAATTTTTAAAAAAAGATTATAAATTAAATGGTTTTCATTATTTTTCTTATCTGGTTATTGGTATAATATATAAGAAAAGTTCAATATTTGTATATTAATCTTGTCCAACTTAGTTACGGAACACTTTGGTTGTGTCTATTTGCTTTTTCAGTGGATTCTCTCAGATTTTCTGGATAGTCTTATTGTCTCTTTGTTCCCAGTACTTACATTGTGTTTTTAAGTTTTGCTTCTGGCAGGATATCTCATTGAATCAACTAGGACTCCTGAAATGGTAGCTGTATTCTTCTTAGCTCCAGAGGACAGAACTAGAACAGATGGGCAGAACAGCTAGCGCTATTTGAACACGGAAGAAGAGCTGGTGTGACAGTATTAATGTCAAATAAAATACAATTTAAAATGAAAAGTATTACTAAAGTAAAATGAACAGCTAGAGCATTATTGAATTTACATAACATCTCACAAGGCTTGAAAATAAAAACTGACAGGATTAGAAGGAAAACTGACGAGTTCACAGTTACGTAAGAGATTTTAGCATACCTCTATTAAAATGGATAGGCAAACAGAAAGTCAAGAATATAGGGAAGATTTGAACAACACAAATAGTGAAGTTGATAGAATACATAGAGCAAATTTTGTACCCAACAAATAGAGAAGTGCATTAGTTTTGAACACGTAAGAAATACATAGAAAAATTGTGTCCTAATTCACAGGTCTCCAAAATTTAAGGAAACCAGAATCTATTGATTATATTCTTTTACCACAATAATTAAACTTGAAACCAGCAATAAAAATACTTTTTTGAAAAACTCATCTGACTAGAAACTAGAAAATGCATTTACAAATAACTCGTAGGTTAAAGAGGAAGCTTAAAAAGAGCCAGCAGAGTAAAGATGAAGTAGGTAGATGAAAGAACATATTATAGATGACAATTTTTTAATATTGTGATTGCCAATGATAGGACTAGCAAAATTTGCCGTTATAGGTATTACTTGAGCTTCTATTCCTATTCATGGTTTATTTACACATTAATAATGTTTCTCTTTAGAATATAGTCAATTGAGCTAATAAGAAAAATATAGGACTCAAATTGTAGATTATAAATTGTCAAATTTTCAGGAGTGTATCTTTCCATGTAACCAGAAAATTAACTATAGAGCTATATAAATGAGAACATCAAATTTGTAGAATTATTTTACTATTGTTTATTTTATGTAAAAGATTTTATAATGGCCTTTAATAGATAGTTCTTTTTATATATTTAAGATTCTTTTTTCCTTCTTGTAGGTCACTCAAATGAGTCGTCCAGACCTGATTCTCTTTCTGATGAAATACCTGATGGCTCTGATAGTTGGTATTCCCTCTATTTTTTGGGTTGGAAGCAAAAAGACATGCTTTGAATGGGCCAGTTTTTTTCATGGTCGTAGGAAAAAAGAGTAAGTTGAAGTAAATTATCACAATGTTCACGAACTTCACATTTATGTAAATTTTTTGTGTTGCTTACATTAAAATAATTTGAATTTTGAGGAAATATTCCAATAAGATTGTAACTTCAGCTGCCATCAGTTAAGACTGGCACAGTAGCAGGTCTTAATTAAAAGCTAAAAACTTGGCCTTGGCTGGGTGGATCAGTTGTTTAGAGTATTGTCCCAGTACGCCAAGGTTTCGGGTTTGATCTCTGGTCAGGGCACATACAAGAAGCAACCAATGAATGTATCAATGATGGAACAACAAATTGATGTTTCTCTCTTTCTCTCTCCTCCCTCCCTCCCCCTCTCCTCCTCCCCCCTTCCTCTTACTCAAAAATCAGTTAAAAAAAACAAAACTAAAAACTTATTCTAAGAAGATAGTCAAGTAGAATTGAGCTTAAAATCTCTTCCTTACTAATTAGAATATTTGAAGGAAGGCCAATCTTTAGGTTTAAAAACCCAAATTATAATCTTTCTTAAAATTAAATAGAAATTAATAAACCTGGCTGATTTGGCTCAGCAGTTAGAGCATCGGCCCATGGACCCAAGGGTCATGGGTTCGAGTCCTGGTCAAGGGCACATATCTCGGTTGCAGGTTCAATCCCCGGCCCCAGTTGGGGTCGTGCAGGAGGCAACCAATGGATGTTTCTCACATTAATGTTTCTCTGTCTCTCCCTCTCCCTCCCTTCCACTCTATGTGAAAATCAATGGAAAAATATCCTTGGGTGAAGATTAACAAAACAAACAAATTCATGCTTTTATATATATAAAATATATATATTTATTTATTTATCCTCTTGATATTCCTGTAAAGGTTGGTATCTCTGTGTTATAGATGAGAAAACAGAGAAGTTAAGTGCCTTGGCCAAAGTCATACAGGTATTAGATTATGCTTCCATTTCCAACTATTTATTGTTCTTTCAAGTATACCATAAATAATTTAAAGAAATAGCATGTTATTTCATTCTGATGTAGTACACATTAAAGCCAAAATAGAAAAAAAGTGATACCATTAGATAACATGAAATATGTTTAAGAAAGTATTGTGATTTGATTTATAGTTGTCCACACTGCGTATTAGAGTATCATGGTAACTATAAGACTTGCCAAAGCAGCCTTTTGAGGGCATATTTAAAGAATTTTTAATTTTTTTGAATCTAATTCAGAAAATAAAATAAGACTCTTTAATATTCACGAAGCAACAAATTATTTCAAACTTTTTACTCAGTATAAATCTTACATGAATACTATATTTGAATTCTAAGTTAGTGGAATCATGTAGGGTCAAAGGAAAATGGGGTTTGTTGGGGATAACCTGTAAAACTCTTAAGACTGTATTTAAAATGCTGTGCCTTGCCCTGGCCAGTTTAGCTCAATGGTTAGAGTGTCAGTCTGTGGACCAAAGAGTCACAGGTTCAATTTTGGTCAAGGGCATATACCTCAGTTGTGGTTCAATCCCTGACCCTAGTCAGGGTCTTGCAGGAGGCAACCAAGCAATGTGTCTCTCTCACATCAATGTTTTTCTCTCTCTCTCTCTTCCTTCCACCCTCCCTCCTAACTCTATCTGAAGATAAATGGAAAATTATCCTCGGGTGAGCTTTAAAAAATATATAAATAAGTAAATATAATAAAATATTGTGCTTTGTATGGGATAATGTACCTTTATTATACAACTTAAAATGCCTCAATAACAAAAATCTATATTTTTCAAAATATTAGTAATTAGCAGTTTCTATTAAACAGTTTAATTTAAAGTAAAATAATCACATTTTAAAAATACATATTTCTGCCATGGCTGGTTTGTCTCAACAGTTAGAGCATTGGCCCATGGACCAAAGAGTCGTGGGTTTGGTTCTGGTCAAGGGCACATACCTTGGTTGCAGTTTGGTCCCTGGCCTTGGCCGGGGTCATGCTGGAGGCAACCAATCAGTGTGTCTCTCTTACTTCTATGTTTCTCTCGCTCTCTCTCTCCTTCCCATCTGTCTGAAGATTAATGGAAAAAATATTCTCAGGTGAAGATTTAAAAAAAAACAAAACGTTATTTCTTACCATATCTGAGACTGCTAATAGTGATGGCAGATAATATATTTCTCCTTTAAATACAGTGTCATAGGACAGAGAGGGAAAGAAAGGGAAAGATTTCATTCAGTAATTACAAAAATGTGTTTTCTGGCATTAATTCATCCTTTTTTTTTGGTATGTGCCCCTAGCGGGAACCGATCCCGGGACTCTCTGGTCCACAGGCCAATGCTTCAACCGCTGAGCCAAACCTGCCAGGGCTAATTCATCCTTTAAGAAGTCTTTATTGAATGCTTACTATATGCCATGAACTATTTTGGGATGCCAGGAATTCAATGGCAAACAAAACAGGCCAAGTCCCTGCTTTTATGTTTTCCTCCTTGTAGGATTTACTGTGATTTAGCTGTATATTTGTTGAAATTTTTATATGTCTTTTAATCACAGTAAAACATAATGCTGAGGAAAGGGCTTGAATTAAACATTCCTTGTCACCTCTGAACCACACATAAACATTCTGAATGGGGTTGTACTGGAAATTCCAGATAGAACTAAACCCAACCTACCTTTATGGGGAATCATCCTAGTTATTGGGGGATCATGGTTGGGCTAGAATCGTTTTCACACTGATTAGAGTTCCTCAAGATCCTTTTATTTGGTATTCTGCAACCGTGGCTCCCTACCCAACAAAGTCATTGTGATCCTCTAAGCCAGGACTATGCTCTGGGCTAGAGGAGCAGTTCAGTATTTTGGAGTTCAAGAACATGAGCATCCTATAGCTATTTCTAGTGTTTGTCTGGTTTAGCCTTTGAGAAATGACTATCAAGTAATCATAATAATGGTTACCAGTTAACTGAGCACATTTAATATTCCATGCACTGTTCTAAGCATTTTATACATTGTTAAATCATTTAATCCTCTAAACAGTCTTATAAGGGATATCATCATTTTACAGATAATGAAATAGGCATGGAACCAAGGTTTCACAGCTAGTGAATGGTAGAATTGAAATTCAAACCCAAGCAGTCTGACTGTAGACTTTAGTCTTTGCTCCTAACCCCTCTGTTATACTGTGCTATAGAGATTGACTTCTAAAACTGTGCTAATCAAATTAGTGTTCTCTAAGCAAAGCCACATTTAAGGCTGCTTATGCTAATAATTCTGACACCGAAATATTTTTAGAAATTTTGCTTTAGAATTATCTAGGTCATATCACTTAATTTCTCTGGACCTTTGCTTTCTTATCTGTAAAATGAGGGGACAAACCTTCACCATTTGAAGGTGCATTAAAGTTTTGGAACAACCAGAAGTCAGTTTGAACCAAGTTTTAAAAAAGAAATTTAGAAAATAAAGTCAGCAATCAAGACTTACTCGGGATGTACATATATATGTTATAGGACCATTGATGACAGAGGAACAAATCTTGGATTTTCTTAAAAACTATTTTTGTCTAGCCCTGGCCGGTTTGGCTCAGTGGTTAGAGCGTCAGCCTGCGTCCACAGAGACCCGGGTTCGGTTCCCGCTAAGGGCATGTACCTTGGCTGCAGTTTGTCCCCGGCCCTGGTTGGGTCATGTGGGTGGCGGCCACTCGATGTGTCCCTTTCACGTCGATGTTTCTCTCTCTTCCTCTCTCTCCTTCCCGCTCTATCTGAGTAAAAAATGGAAAAATGTCCTCGGGTGAGGATAAAAAACAAAAAACTATTTTTGTCTTGATCTTTCTTCTGTCTAGTTTTTACATTGTTTTCAGGATATACGTAAACATTGTTTTATCATTACTTTATAATTGGCTTCTAAGCCACTTAAACTTAAGTTTGATCCCTGACCACTAGTTTTGTTGTGTGTCTTTTGGAAAGTTTGTTAATCTCTTAGAACCTCAGTTTCTTTATCTATAAAATGAGAATCACAGCCCTGGCTGGTTTGGCTCAGCGGTTAGAGTATCGGCCTGCGATCCAGAGAGACCCGGGTTCGGTTCCCGCTAAGGGCGCGTACCTCGGTTGCAGTTTGTCCCTGGCTCTGGTTGGTCGTGCAGATGGCAGCCACTCCATGTGTCCCTTTCACGTCGATGTTTCTCTCTTTCCTCTCTCTTCCTCTCTGTCCCTCCCACTCTATCTGAACAAAAAATTGGAAAAAAATGTCCTCGAATGAGGATTTAAAAAAAAATGAGAATCACAGTATTTGTTCTTAAATAGATACCTAATATCCTCTTAGAAATATTCTCTCAGAACATTAGTCTCCATAATAAAAACATTAAGGATCAGAGGAGAATGTATTTAAAATTCCTGACATAATACAGGTACTCCACAAATATTAGCCTTCTTTCAGCCTTTTTACCCCAGCACTAAAAACAACAACAAACAATGCTTTTATAATTTGAAAACAGAATGTATGTACTTTCTCACTGTGTGATCCAATTTTTACATTATTGGAGTTTTTTGGGTTTTTAAAAATATTTTGTTCTTTATTGATTTTAGAGACAGAGGAAGGGAGAGGGAGAGAGAGATAGAAACATCGATGAGAGAGAACTTCTGTTGGCTGTCCCCTGCATGCCCCACACTGGGGATTGGGCATGTGCCCCGACTCGGAATCAAACCGATAACCTCTTGGTACACATGGGTCAGTGCTCAACCACTGAACCACACTGGCCAGGCTGGAGTAGTGTTTTAAATGAAATTGTTTATCTAGTTTTTACTTAACTCTGATTCTCATAGTGCTTATTTACATAAACTGAGACTGATCTTTGCAATTATTTAATTGGCTCTTTTATTTAATTACTGCCTTGTTCATCGTTATAAACATCTATCTGCTTTTAACACTCATAGCAGTTAAAAATTTTTGCTCTTGCCCTGGCCGGTTTTGCTCAGTGGTTAGAGCCTTGGCCTGCAGACCAATGATTCTTGAGTTTGATTCCAGTTGGGGCACATATCTCAGTTGCAGTTAGTCCCTGGCTCTCATTGGGTCATGCATGAGGCAACCAGTCAATGTGGCTCTATCACATCTATATTTCTCTCTGTCTCTCTCTCCCTCCCTCCCACTCTATCTGATGACAAATAGAAAATTATCCTCAGGTAAGGAATAAAAAAACAAAACAAAACTTTTGCTCTTGACAGTAATTTATCTCCTTTTCTTAAGGCTTTAGTATGTCTGAGGCTTAATTATATGTTTGCTTAAATTAATTTTGTGTATGTTTTATTCTAATTATGACCACTCTTGTTTATTTCAGCAGTAGAGAACTGCTTCTGCCATAAAATCAAGTTGTAGCCTTAAAACAACTGCTATTACAAGTTAAAAAATGTATCTGCAACGACAAGGCCTCCACTACTTCCATAAACCAAGCAATAAAACAATTCCCGTACTTTATAGGAATATCTTTGTAATATTTTAGTGCCCTTGCAAATAATAAAATTATTTAGCTGAAAGGTACATTTTATAAATGGTAAAATTGAATAACTTCATTTTATAGATTAGGAAAATGAAGGAAAGGAGGCATGACTTGCCTAAGATCACATATTTATTGATAGAACTAAAATTTTTATTTTTTTACTCTATCACAGTCCTCTTTCCATCCATCACTTTAAAGGACAGATTGACACAAATTTTTGTTACATTCTTTCCTTTTTTTTTTTTTATCCTCACCCGAGGACATTTTTCCATTTTTTGTTCAGGTAGAGTAGGAGGGAGAGAGAGGAAGACAGAGAAAGAGAGAGAGAGAAACATCGATGTGAAAGGGACACATCGAGTGGCTGCCACCTGCACGACCAACCAGGACCAGGGACAAACTGCAACCGAGGTACACCCCCTTAGTGGGAACCGAACCCGGCTCTCTCTGGACCGCAGGCCGACGCTCTAACCACTGAGCAAACGGTTCATTTGCTCATTCTTTCCTCTTTCAACAATGTTATTTTATATTTGTCCTAAAGACATTATGTGGAGAACAATTAATTTCAAGAATAATATCAGTGTGTGTTGTTTGCTAGTCTATAGGAATGTTAATCTGTTTCTTAAATTTGGTATTTTGTTGTCTAGGATAGTGAATGAGAGCCGACAGGTACTCCAAGAACCTGATTTTGCTCAGTCCCTCCTGAGGGATCCAAATACTCCTATTATAAGAAAATCAAGAGGAACTTCCACTCAAGGAACATCCACCCATGCTTCTTCAACTCAGCTGGCTATGGTGGATGATCAGAGAAGCAAAGCAGGGAGTGTCCACAGCAAAGTGAGCAGCTACCACGGCAGCCTCCACAGATCCCGTGATGGCAGGTGAGTTTTATTGGTAGCTTACTTCATTTAATATGCTGAATTAGAGTTATACAGGTTAAGGAAGACTAGCTAATTCTGAAATAGAAATGGAATATTACTAATTTTTTAAAAAACTTTGCTAGAAACATTTGTCCCAGATTATAGTCCAATTTAAAGCCAGGTCCAGAGGGATCTGGAACGATATGCTTCAATTTCTTCATCTGTAAAATGGAAATAGTAATATCTGCTCCTTTGGGAATGTTGTGAAAAAATAAATGAGATAGCATTTCTAATTGCTTAGAACAGTGCCTGTCTCAGTAAGTGCCTATGAACTTCTGTTATTATTGTGAGTGAACAGTTAAAGTAAAATATAAATATGATAGTACAGTCAGCCCTCTGTATCCATGGGTTTTGCATTGGGGGGGGGAGGGGATTCAACCAAATGGAGATTGAAAACATTAGCAGGGAAAGTGTTACTTTGTTGCTGACTTGTACTGTGTACTTTGGCCTACCGTGGTTGTGTCTGTCCTGAAGCTGTACGGACTTTTTCTCTTTTTCTTCTCATTATTCCCTAAACAGTACAGTATAACAACTATTTACATAGCATTTACATTGTATTAGATCTTATAAGTAATCTAGAGATGATTTAAAGTCTATAGGAGGGTATATGTAGGCTATATACAAATACACCATTTTATATAAAGGATTTGAACATCCATGGATTTTAGTATCTGTGAGGGTCAGAATTAATCCCTGGTGGATACCAAGGGAAGACTGTACAGTCCAGAGGTTGGTAAACATTTTCTTTAAAGAGCCACATAGTAAACATTTTAGGTTTTGTGGGTTATATTGTCTCTATTGCAGCTATTCATTTGTGCTGTTATAGCATGAAAGCAGCCATAGACAATATGTAGTCAAAATGGGAATGTTTATGTTTCAGTGAAATTTTACTTATAAAAATAGTATGGGTGCAGGGTCAGAGAAACCTTCACAGAGAAAACAAGAGAAGGGATGTGTTTTCTTGTTAAATTTAACAATGGAAACACTAGGTTAGAAACTTCTTTAGGAGCTTTGCAATAATTCAGTTGGGAGATGATGAAGGTTAATAGGAAGGTATTGGCAGTGGGAAGAGAGGAGGAACTGATCTGATAAATATTTAGAAGGAAGAAATAAAAAGATAGGAATTGGTGATGGATTAATAGCAACTAGAGAGGACTGTATCAAAGTTTTTTGGTTTTATTTTTTTACGATTTCTAGTTTGGGAAACTGAAAGAATGAAAAGTCTTATGCCTAAAATGGAAAGCATTCTATGTTAACTTTAAAACACCTGTTTCTGCAATTCTCTGGGATCTTTCAATTTCATTCCAGCCTTTCTTAGTTTTCTCTGTCCTAGTGTAGGGTATAATTCCTATACTTACTCTCTCTTTAGATTTTCTCAGATCTTTTGCCTTCTAACTGTGTCAGTTACTCGGTGTTTTAAAAAGAGCAGTCTTTTTTTTTACTGTGATATATTTTCTATCTTTTATTCATTTTTTCCTTGCCAGAATTTGAAATGAAATTTTAAATATTTCCTTTCTACTCATTCCATTCTTTATTTCTTATGTATCTATTTACTCCTTCTCACCCACCTAAACTGTACGATATTTTTTAACCACATTCAAAGATCTTTTCTCTTTCTTGTCTTTTTCCTTCCATTCAGCACTCCTATATAAGAAACATTCTCCTAATTGCTAGGGACCCAGAGATGGAAGACAGAAGAGTAAACAATCAGTTATTATATACTTTAATGTGTATAATAAAGTTATATACAAGATGCTTTAGGATCATGGAGAAGAAAACCATCTAACTCATATGGAATGTCAGAGGAAATTTCACAAACAACATTGCACTGCTGCTTTGAATAGGATTCAGAGGAGGCCGTTGGAAATTAAAGACAGAGAAACAGCATATGTAGAGGCAAGGAGGATGGAAGGCAGTTAGGAGTATGGCTACTGTGTAATATGTACATTTGGGCATTTGCATTGATAAAACCAGGTTTGTATTTAAGAACGAACACTTTGGCAACAGGATAGGAGAGGAGGAGATTTAAGTAAGCCCAGTTGGGAAGTATCTACAGTAATTTAGGGGTCCTATCATAAGACACTCAGAAGGAGGGAGGGAATTGGAGAGTCTTTTAGACTATATTCTGTCAATACCATCTTCCATGAAATAATGATCAGCATTATTTAAAGATTGATATTCTGACCCTGGCCAGTTTGGCTCAGTGGTTAGAGCGTCGGCCCATGGACCGAAGAGTCCCGGGTTCAGTTCCTTCTAAGGGCCTCGGTTGCAATTTGTCCCTGGCCTTGGCTGGGGTTGTGTGGATGGCAACCACTCGATGTGTCTCTCTCACATCAATGTTTCTCTCTCTGTATTCCTCCCTCTCTCCCTCCTGCTCAATCTGAAGATAAATGCAGAAATGTCCTCAGGTGATGATAAACATAAATTAATTAATTAACTAATTAATTAATTAAAATTAAAGTTTTATATTCTGGCCTCATCCTTTTCAAGAAAGCTGAACAATTATTTATAGTACAATGCCTATAAAGAGATATATAGAAGAAAGTTAAAGTGTAATTTTTGCATTCTATTAGCATATAACCTTATGGAGAAGATAAGACATATACATATTAAATTAAATAATAGAACCAATTAAGTAATAGTGCAAGCCAGCATATAATGAAAACAGTGAGTGTTAGAGATGATTGATGGAACTTTAGAAAAGGAAAAGATCAGATTAGCCTGTGAAAATATCTTAGAACAGATAAATAGGGTGAATGAATGGTAACAAAAGGTAAGTTCATACTAAGTAGAAAATTTCCGAAGGTAATTAAATATAGGAAATTTCAGCCTCTGTAATCTGAGTGGAACTGGAGTTTAGATAAGGAAATTTATGGTCATTAGTATAAGGAGTTGGTAATTAAAATTGTGAGATAGAATCCCTTAGGTCATAATAAAAAAAAAACAGACCAAGACCAAGACCTTGGTAAATACTTACAGTAATAATAATACAGGAAGAATAGGCAGCATGTGCTTCAAAGAAAGTGCTTATAGACATATGAGGGAATCAATAAAAATGCAGTGTCTTGGCCCTGCTAGTGTGGCTCCATTGGCTGAGTGTCATCCCATGCACCAGGAGGTTACAGGTTCATTCCCAGTCAGGACACATGCCCAGGTTGTGCGCTCAATCCCCAGCGAGGGGCATGCAGGAGGCAGCTGATCAATATTTCTCTCTCACTGATGTTTCTATCTCTCTTTCCCTCTCTCTGAAATCAATAAAAACTTATTTAACAAAAACAAAATAAATATATATATAATGTCATGGAATCCAGAGGATAGATTATAACTTCCTGTAATGGCCTTTTCTACCTCTCTGCTTAATCAAAATCATACTCATCCTTTAAGATTTACTTAATTCCCATACCCATGGCAGTTAATTAATTGCTTTTTAATCATTTTTTTGGTATGACCTATTTTCAATACAGTGTCTTTCCTCAGCTAAGTTGGCAGCTTCTGGAGAATGAGAACTAGGTGACAATCATCTCTGTATTTCTCCCACAGTGTCTAGCACGGTGCTAGGCATATATATATATTAGGAGACAAATGTATTGAAAAACTAATGACTTTAGAAATATTGTGAGCATTTCCCAGAAATTTGGAGCCCAGAACTATAATGACAGCCTACTAAGGGTGTTCTATAATGGGGTGCATAAACACTCATACGGTAAGACTCTGTCATACCCAGAACCTCAGACCACATTGAACCTAAACTCTCAACAAGGATGTTAATAATTGCGAAAGCCACCTCGTGGAAATTGCTTTTTCATCAGTCAGGTTTTTTGGTTTTTTTTTTTTAACATTTTTTAAACTGAAATTTTAGAGAGAGAGGAAGGGAGAGACAGAAACACATCAATCAGCTGCCTCCTGCACACCCCCACCAAGGTTCAAGCCCACAACCCATGCATGTGCCCTGACCAGGGATTAAACCAGGACTTCTCAGTCCATGGGACAGTGCTCAATCCACTGAGCCACACCAGCTGGGCTGTATCAGTCAGTTTTAAGTCTACTTGTTAACACTATCTTTTGGCCATCTTTTTCTCATCATGTCATGGTTTCTTGAGATATCACACACACAAACATACCTGCTTCTCAATACTCTAGTCCAGCCTTCTTGATGGATAATTATTGATCTCAGTGCTATGTAAAATAAAATACACTTAGGTAAATACTCTTACACATGTATGGCAACTTCAAAGAATAAGTAATTGGTTGTTAGATGAGAAGATGGGTAGAAAAGCAAGTGGATGAGTAGGTAGGTAGAGGTTTTGGAATGTGTGAGTAGTATAGTAAAAGTAGGTGACAACAAGGGAAAGCTAGGGAATGTATAATGAGATACTAGTGAAATTATGATGGCTTGAATTATTTATATTAATGGTAGCAAATAATATAGAGAATCAAGGAGTAAATCATTTTCAGGTTTCTTTGATTTGACTTTGGAACACACCATATTATCTTTTCAGCAAATTAACCATCCTAATTGTTTTGCCTAAGCTTATATTAAGATTAATGTACATTTTCATATTGTATATTAAATGGCCACAGTGCTTTAAATGATTGTCAAACGATAAATAAACTTGGTAATTCCCACATATACAATTGAGATTAAATACTATAATTAAATTTCTTTTTCTATGTAGTTGATTCCTAATTATCCATGTGCGAGTTGTTTATATTCTAGAATTTTGTGGCTAGCCACCTATTTTACTTAATTAGACACAAGAAGTCAATGTAGTAATTTTTTTAATGAAAAATATATTCTTTGAGTCATATTTGTAACTCAAAGACTTAGCTTTCATTTTAGAAAATACCCAATTCATATTTTAAATAGTGGTTTGTGTGGTTTTCTTTTAATTACTTTGATATTATTCCTAGAGCTGTATCAGATTCTATTGTGTTTTTTCATTTGCCATATTTATTTGAAACAGATACTTATGAAGTCATTGAGAGGTGAAAGATCTTCAAATTATCTGGCAGATCATATTTGGAGAAAATCACTCAGTTTAGGGTGATAATTATTATGCAAAATAATAATAGAATAACAAGCTCATTCTGAAATATTTTCAATTAACATTGTAATTATTTTACCAAAACATACCAATCAAATTTAAAAATTGGAAACAAGCCCTGGCCAGTTTGGCTCAGCAGTTAGAGGGTCGGCCCATGAACCAAAGAGTCAGTTCGATTCCGGCCAAGGGCAGTACTTCAGTTGCGGTTTGGTCCCCGGCCCTGGTGGGGGTCATGCAGGAGGCAACCAGTTACTGTGTCTCTCTCCATGGATGTTTCTGTCTCTCTCCCTCCCTCCCACTCTATCTGAATATATGTGGAAAAATATCCTCAGGTGAGGATTTAAAAAAAAAATTCATGCATTCATGCTTGCTTTTATCTTTTTTTTTTTGTCCTCACCCAAGGACATTCCATTTTTGTTCAGATGGGGGGGGGGGGGTGAGGATGAGAGAGAGAGAGAAACATGACATGAAAAGGACACCTCGAGTGGCTCCCTCCTGCATGTTGTCCCAACTAAGGCTGTGCACAAATTGCAACCAAGGTACGTGCCCTTGACCGGAATCAAACTCATGACTCCTTGGTCCGCAGGCCTGTGGGTCCATGCTCTTGAGCCAAACCGGCCAGGGCTCTTTTATCATTTTAAAAGGACTTTTCAGCCCAGCCAGTGTTGCTCAGTGGTTAAGTGTCAACCCATGCACCAAGAGATCACCAGTTCGATTCTCCAGTTCGATTCCCGGTCTGGGCACATGCCCACGTTGTAGGCCCAATCCCCAGTGGGGGGCATGCAGGAGGCAGCTAGTCGTTGTTCTGTCTCATCTATGTTTCTATCTCTCTCTCCCTCTGTCTTCCTTCCTCTCTAAAATCAACAAAGAAAAAATATTTAAAATGACTTTTCAGTTTTTAAACCTGTGATCTAATGAAAACATTCTTTAACAAGCATTGCTGTAAAAGTAGATCTCAGTAGTGCATGAATCAGTCTTTAAAATCTTTCAGTTTTATAAATGATTCATATTGAGTCATGAAATTTGTTATAATTATGAAGGAATGATAAATGAATGCTTTGACAGCCAATAGGTCTCTACTTATGATTAGTTCTTTTGATGACTATTATAAAAAGAAATGGCCTGTTGTGTTCTTTTATATTTTTAGAAACATTACTTAAAATTTAATATACTAATTAAAGATATAAATTATATTCAATTAAATTTTCTTTGAGTTTTGTTATCCTAAATTAAATATTTTTTACAAAAAGGTGTACATATGAGTGTGAGTTTTCTTACCTCTGGTGGGGGCTCAGTGAGTCAGGATTACAATAAAAGAAAATTGAACAGCTCCCCACTGCTGCCTTTCTAGATAAGTACAATGATGGAGGAGAGACTGCCTGCAAAACAGCGTAGCCCAGTTGACATAATCAAAAGGTGTGTCTTTGGTTAGGGGTACTGAGAGAATTTGCTTTAGCAGGAATATAAGTTATAGTGTATCAGGATGGTGTTATGTGAATTTAAGTAAATGTACCTTCTATGAAATAGCATATCATCCTCATAGCCCTGAGGAAAAGTTAATAAGACCATTTACAGTAGTTAATTCAACAGTTAACTGGGTTATCTGGAAAGAAGCTCTCAGCACATACTGTCCTTGTTGCTTGCCAATTCATTCGCCTTTTTTTTTCTTTTTGGTTACGCTAATTTCTCCTCTAATTTTATATGCCCCCTCTTCCTAGTTGTAGTAAAATTTGAGTTGCTGTACTTCTGATTATAACCAATTTTCTATATTCTTTGAGTCAGTGCCATATTTCCTCTATTGTCCCATCTCTTCCTGAAATCACCCCATAACCCAAAACTCATTTGAATGAGAAAAGTTAACCTTAGCTTCTGTCCTTTTGCAAAGAATAGGACCTTAATTGTGAATTTAATGAGTAGATTTTCTTTCCTTTTTTTTTTTGGTTAACCATATGAATAATTCTACAGTGTTAAAGAAATTACTATAAATCATCAAAGGTGGTTGTTACTTTTTCACTGTTGGTTTCCTAATTATTTCACTTAATGCAGCATTTTCATGAAAAATTTTAGTGTTTGTTTTTCTAGTGTGTTCTATTACCCACTTCAAAATAAACTCTCCTATATTAGGTACACTCCCTGCAGTTACAGAGGAATGGAAGAGAGACTACCTCATGGCAGCATGTCACGACTAACGGACCACTCCAGGCACAGTAGTTCTCATCGGCTCAATGAACAGTCGCGACATAGCAGTATCCGAGATCTCAGTAATAACCCTATGACTCACATCACACATGGCACCAGCATGAATCGAGTTATTGAAGAAGATGGAACCAGTGCTTAAATTGTCCTGTCTAAGGTGGAAAATTTGTGCCGTTTAAAAAGCAGATTTTATTCTTTGCCTTTGCATGACTGACTGCTGTAACTCACTGTTGTCATGCGTTCAGTCAGGTGCAGATTGTGTCCATTGGAAAAGTAAATTTTTGCTTTTTATATTGTATCAAACTTGGAACTCAAGGCATCCAAAATGCTAAGAATTATATTATCACATAAATAATTCTTATTTCTAGGTTATAAAGAGATAATTATTTGTCTGGTAAGCATTTTTATAAATACACTATTTTATATTTAGAAAATCCTAAATGTGTGGTGACTGCTTTGTAGTGAACTTTCGTATAATATCAACAAGTTGTGAGATAACATTCTGGTGGTTCTGTTAATAAAACAAAATTTCAGAATTAAAGAATTTTCTATGCAAGGTTTATTTCTCAGATGAATGGTGAGACTTTATAGTTTTATTTCCACTAAGTGAAAAAGAACTGGTTTTAAACTGTAGGAGCATTTGATAAATCAGCAAGGGTATTTTAGCTAATAGAATATAAGATCAACAGAAGAATCTGATTAGTTTGTTGAAGGCTCTTTCAAAATTCTATCAAAATAAATTTTATCCAGAGAGATACAGGATTAAGAATATCATTGGGCATTTTTTTCCCTATAATTAAGCTGTTTTTATTACTTTTGTAAATATTACTTTTACTGGCAGTGTTTTTATAACTTATCCATATGCATGATGGAAAAATAATTTGTAGCCATCTTTTCCCATGTAGTAGTATTAATTCATAGATAATTTTATGTTCATATCTATTCTGTGGAGGCATGTAATAAGATAAGCATCACACATAAGGTTTTTTTGTGGTAGCCACAATTACAAAATGGCAAAGTGTTTTCTCTGTATTCATTGTTGTATTTTTCTACAGTGAGATGTGATCTTGCCAAAGCCACCAGATCTTGGCATCCAGGTCCTCCTATCAATGAGTTGATTGTACTTGCATTGCCCAGTAGCAAATAGGCTACTGCTATTGCCCCCAGAACCCTTATATTCAGATTCTGGATAAGTCTCGTTCATAGCTAAAATATATATAACCTAAGTCCAAAGTGGTCATTTATTGGGGTAGCTGAAAATCATTGTAACTAAATGAAGCATGATTAGTCTTACTGTGAAGTATACTGTAATCTTAAAAATATCAACTCAAAAATGTTTGACATTTTGTCTTGTAATATTTAAATAATTTACAATAACAACTGGTAACTTTATTAGGCATGAAATTTATCAGAAGGGAAAGAAAAATTCTGGAAGATGCTGGATATATTATATAGAAAAACATTTTAAACAAGCATGTCCTCAACCCTGACTACAGGTAAGAATCACTTGGGGAACCTCTGATGCTCAACGCCTTCCTCTCATTGAGATGAGAATTGGTAGTTGTCGTTTTTTTAAGACTCTTTCCAGGTGCTTCTAATCTGTAGCCAGGCTGCAGCTGTTTTAAACTAACTTGCCCCTGGTGATGATCTGATGGCATCTTCATTATATCACATGAAAATCTAGCTGCACTCAATATTACGCGTTTACATCATTACCTTGATACACTTGTTCTCCACTTTATTTGTCCATTATAAAATGTGGAATGCTGACCCCACTCCTAAGGATTCTTATTCTGTAACTCAAAGGTAGTAAGACTTTAAAATCTCTAGTTATAAAAATACCACTGGTGATTCTTATGCAGGTAATCCAAGAATGATACCTTAAAAAATATTCTAGACTCCAGAGAGGCCTGGCTTTGTCATATGCTGGCTTTAACCTTTATAAAGTCAACTTCTCTGAGCTTCAGTTCCTTTGTTTGCAAATGAAGATAGAAGATAAATACCTACCTCATAAAGTTGTCAAATAGGGATCAAATGAAAAATCATATGACAGCTCTTTGAAAACTGGAAATTGTAACTATAAGGGATTAAGATTATTAAGGATGTAAGAGATTTATCTGATGGCTACTATAGTACATTCCTTGACATGTATTTAATTCATGTGTACTTTTACTCTTTTTTTTTTTTTAAACAAAAAGTACCAAAAAATTAGGTGTTGAAAAAGTAGCTTTTATCGGGCACAAAAGTCAGTTTTCTGGTAGTAATCTGTATATCATGTTGTTTCTTTCAAAGTACATATATATTAATATTTTTATTGATTCTTTATAAAATATATTTAAATATTTGGCCCAAAATGTTTTTTCCCCCTCCTCTGTCTTCATGGTCTTTCTCCTTAGAACTAGAGTCAGTGCTCAAGACAGAGTGTGAATTCCATCATAAGTGACATTTAGTAAACCTTTTGTCTGAAGGCTAATTTTATAATAACTCGGAGATAAATTAGTAATTCATGAGGCTTTTGTCTGAGAATCTCTCCTGAGAACAGCATGAGAGGACCAACACAAACATTCAGAAACAAAAATAAGTAGAAGTTACCAGTTTGAGCTCAAAGATGTTGTCAGTCATTGCCATCTGCATTTTATTATCATTTGCCAAAATGTTAATTGGTTTTCTTGTACAAGTGGCCAAGTATAGACAGTTAAGTGAACATCACTGTGAAAATATTTTTTGTGCTTCCTGATTTTATGTATTCATTGCATCTTCTCTATTAAAATAACTGTTGATATTTATGTAAATGCTATATTACATTTCAGTTACTTCCAGTATCTTTATTTTGTTCCACAAAATTTACTTAATATTGTTAATTCATTGTTTTGAGTAACAGTATTCAGTTTGGGCCCTGTTATTTATCAAAGTAGTGCTCCAAATTAATTTTTTTTAAGAGACTGTTGAAGAACTATATGTAGCAAATCAGTCATTTCAAGTTTCAACTAGCTTAAACCAACTTGAGCAAGTCTGGACAGCTTTCTTAAGCATATGTTTAACTTTAATTTGTGTTGTGATTGGCATATGATAATGTTTAGTGTTTTGTTTGTTCTGCTGACAACTGAGAAAATAATAGTGCTCTCTGAAATGTTAATATATAATCAAAAGGTTTTCAAAAAGTACTTTGATTTCACCAATATTGTATTTAATTTAATTTATTCAGTAATTAAAAGATCCAAGACAATATTAAGCTCAAAATAGTAATTAGTTTCAAAGAACAGTTGATTAATAACTCAATAACTAGCACAGGGCTTAGTAAATAGTAAGTTTCTCAGTAAATAAATGAATGAATAATTCATGTCATACAACTCACTTTTACCCTAGTAGTGAGTCTAACTTCAAAAAAGTTTGAAGTATCTGAATTTTAACTAAGTGAAATGAAGTCTGCTTTACCAAAACAACATGTGAATTGTACCAAATGAAGCTTACTTCTTATATAGTAACAGTACATATTACTATTTAAATTAAAGAAATATATATCCAAACTTGTACCAACACATACTCATTTTTTTTAAAAAAATGTTTTTCCTTCTTTATTGATTTTTGAGAGAGGAAGTGAGAGGGAGAGAGAGAGATGGAAACATTGATGAGAGAGAACATCAACTGGCCACCTCCTGCCTGTCCGCCGCTGGGGACCCGGCCCACAACCTGGGCATGTGCCCCGACCAGGAATCGAACCGGCAACCTCTCAGTGCACGGGTCGACACTCAACCATTGAGCCACACCGGCTGGGCTATATTCATTTTTAAAGGTGAAAGCTATTCTTGGAAATATTTAGACTCTTTTTGGTTTTATGTGAAGTTAGATCTTTGTGTATTATTTGGGTGAATAAATATTCAAGCAAACCTTTATTCGTAATGATTTTTTTCTGCTGCTTCTTAGAGCTGATTTATAAAATTTCTAAGAATCTCTTCAAATTAGAAAATTTTTTCAACATTTTAACCTACCTCATTAGTTTCCTTGTGATAATAGCTGGGAATAACTGAAATTGTAACTGTCTTGGTTTAGGCTATAGCCCTATGAAATAAAATAAACTACTTAATATTTTTTTTGATAAAATAGAGTACCATTGGCTGAAGCTTAGAAAATATTAATATACCAGAATTTCAGTCTGATGATATTTATAATACTTTTGACATGCCAAAGGTACATTTATATGTATTATCATACTTGGATGACTTACATAGTCTAGTGTAATAAAAATTCCACTGGGCTTGGAATTCGAAGACCCATAATTATGATGTGAACTCGACAGGTCATTTAATTTCTCTTAGTCTCAGTTTCTTCAGTGTAAAATGAGGATAAGGCAATTTTTGGTCCCAGCTTACCTCACAGGATATTGTGAGGATCAAATGAGGTAACATGTACTATAGTGCTTTGTAATCTATAAATTGCTCTACTTATATGTTTCTGTTAGAATTTGGGGGTTGTAGAAGACAAGGATGTGGTCTTCAGTGGTATATAGCAATAACAACAAAATAGGCAATATAGACCAGTATTCATGTGGTACCATCTTTGAATCAACAATCCAGTTATCCTTTTAAAAATGAGGTTGTTTTTCAAGAGTAGCTGTGCCCTTAAATTGTGTTGGCTCTTTAATATATGCTATGCTCCGGTGTGCTCTCAAATCTTACACAGTGAATTTGTAGGTCACTTTCAACAGAAATTAGGGATCTCCATTTTATGATACCTTTGATATGTAATTACTATATAAAATTGCTTGACTTTACTGAAATTTGTAAGAAAAATATAGAGGAGTATAGGCCTTATCACTTTTTTTTTCTTTGATGACTTTCATGTACCTAATTCTTTCTGGTTAAGAACAAGGTTTTAAAAATTGATTACTGTAACTTAATGGTTTTTATCACTGCAAAACTTTACTTTTTAAGTTATTATCTTAATTGTTTATATTTATATATATATAATTTTAAAAACTGCATAAAAGGTAAGGATCATCTTCATAGAACAAGTTTTGCAAAGGAACCCATGATTTTTTTTAATTTCTTTTTTTGTTTTTGTTAATCCTCACCCGAGGATACTTTTCCATTGATTTTAGATAGAGTGGAAGCGGGGGTGGGGGGGAACATCGATGTAAGAGAGACACACTGATTGGCTGCCTCCTGCACGACCCCTACTAGGGCAGAGGATCAAACCTACAACCCAGGTACATGCCTGTGACCGGGAATTGAGCTGGAGACCCTTCAGTCCATGGGCCGACGCTCTAACCACTGAGCAAAACCGGACAGGGCAAATCATTTCTGTCTATTTTTTATGAAAAAATAATCTTGACATCTCTTCATAATTTAATTCTCTTTCCTTCTTTTTTATTCCAGTTATGTGAGTTTTGGGAAAGGGCTAGGAAGACCAAGCATTCCTTACCTTCCACCTGACTGTAATCAGTCTCCTGAAGTTTTTTCCTAATTTAATTTTAATCCTAGACTTCTTTAATAGCCAAATTCATATAGGATTATAATTTTCTCTCAGGATCCAAAATCTAGGAAAAAATGTTAAGGTCTGCCCAGCCATCTCTGTAGACATTACTATTTTGGTTGATTTATAAAGATTTAATATAATTAGTTAATAAGCCTATTTCTTATTCTCTCATCTCTAATTAGTAAAATTTTGTTGCTATATAAAGTTTCACTTATATTTTAGTCAGATGCCATACCACTACAATGGTACTTCCTCTAAGAGTAATTCACTCTATTTAAAATCATTAAAGGATGATTTCCTTCAGATTTTTTTTTTTTTATTTTATTTTTAAGAATCACCTGTCTTAGGAAATTTGTCATGTCCTTTCTTGGACATTTTCATTGGTATGATAACATTGCTCATAATTTATTCCCATGTTATTGGCCACTGTCACCAGTTTAACCTGACAGAGAAACAAGTTTTCTACCTTGTAATTCAGATTTTGAAGATTCAATATTCCATTATTTTGGTAATTACCATTCACTAGTAACAGTATTTATAAGACTGATATTTTTCAAGCTTGTTATTTTATTATATTTCCTGAAGTAGGCTGCACTGCATTATTATTGCCCTGAGATTTTTGTTATATAAGTCATCTTGTTTGTACTGTTAACTTGGAAATACTTTTTGTGTGTGTTTTACTTATTGGCTTAAAAGGAAATAAAACTTGAGCCCTGGCCAGTTTGGCTCAGCGGTTAGAGCGTTGGCCTGTGGTCCAGAGAGACCTGGGTTTGGTTCCCGCTGAGGGCATGTACCTCAGTTGCACTTTGTCCCCGGCCCTGTTTGGGTCGTGTGGGTGGCAGCCACTCGATGTGTACCTGTCACGTCGATATTTCTCTCTCTCTCTTCCTCTCTCTCCCTCCTGCTCTATCTGAACAAAAAAATGAAAAAATGTCCCCAGGTGACGATAAAAAAAAGAAAAGAAAACTTTAAAGTTAAATTCTTTTTTCTTAATTGGCAGATATTTTAATGCTTAGTAAAAATGCATTATGTTATTTTTAAATACCACAGAATTTTGAGTCAGGAGACCTAATTTCTAATTTTCTCTCTCTTTTCAATGAGCTGTGTAACTTTGGAGTTTTGTTTCTTGGAACCTGGGTTTTCCCATGTGTAAATGAGAGAAACAAGGGCATTAAATTAGTTAGTCTCAAATTCCACATGTCTCTCATTTGGTTGCCCCTTGACCATTTTATAATTATTATTCTGAGTATACTTTTATTCTCTTTATTCTTTCCATGAACTATATTTACTAGATCAATCTGTATTGTTAATGCATTATACTCTTAAATTGCTAGGATTCAGTTATGTTATTAACATTGTTTTCCATTCATGATTTTAAGTAATTTTAAAGGAGGAAATTTAAAAGTGAAAGAAAGGTTACATGACTTTTTTATGTAAAAAGTCTCCTAAAGCACAATATAAGCACCTAAAATTTATATACAGAAAAATAGTGACATATAAAATTTTTGGTCTTTGTTCTCTTAAATAGGAATATAGCTAGTTAGCCTAAACTTTAAGTAAGCAGCATTCAAGATAAAATCAGTGAACAAAGCAGCAATAACACTGGCCTGTATAGCCAATTAAAAAGCTATTAGGTTTTCCCAACATTAAATTTTAAAAGGAATTTCAGTGGATTAAATCTTTTCTCTTCAGTAATTATTCTTAAGCTGTACTCTTAGATTCATTGAGTAAATACAGTTGTCAGATTGCCATGGACATGTGCATATCCTGCTTTAAAATATCATTAGTGATAAAAACGTGATTTATTTTAATTTTTTCTGGCTGTGCAGAAGATGTTTCCATAACGCCTCCTTAACTGTCTGATAAAATGTAGTGATTTCATTAGTTCATCTCTTAGCAGAATTCTATTTTAGATGTGTGTTTTCTGAGAACCAGGCCAAAGAGGTGTCTGTTGCAGTACTTTTAAAGATCATTGTTTTTGCTCTAATTGTCTGCATTAGCTCATCGATCTCTTGAATACTTTGGTTTGTACATTTGCAGTCTAGTTATTGGGTTTGTGGTCTGATGGGTAGAGAAGAATAATGGAAAGTTGATATAGGAAGGTGAACTGGTTTCTGGTGCGATTTCTATGGTTATACTGATTCCTTGTCTTTGGTCAGATCACTGAATCAGGCAGCTCTCCAGGCCTCCGGAAATGAAATCAGATGTCCATCTGCTCTCATTCAGACATACCTATATTACAATGTTATTTTGATCGCCTGTTAAAAACATCTTTATTTTCATTTTTCTGGCTCTGCATGTTTTATTTCATTTGTTAAACTTGAATCTGATGTCCAAACATTTCTTTGAATATTTTCTGGGTATTGATAATGGGTTATCCTATAAGATAAAACAGATAATCCCAGAATGGTTTAATTTATATTATCCATCCACAATTTTTCTATTTCTCTACTTACCCCTCCTCAGTTTTGAAAAGGAAATTTATAAATGTCTTCCTTCACTCCCTTATTCCTGCCTCAGATAATTTCGCCCCGAACTACTATTGTCAGCAGAAACATTTAATATGAAATAATTCTATATTTCTGAGATGAGAACAACACAATAGTTCTTTACAATGAGTTGAGGTGTAAATGTACTTAAAATAATATATTTTCTTTATATGTGAACTTAAAATTATTTTTTAAAATCATTTAAAAGGGACTCTGATGTGAAAATATTAGTCTGGAATTTCTCTTGCTCTTTCTACCTTAGCTATGAGTTATCAAAGTTATCTTTTTCTTTTTACTTTAACTTCTGTAGAATTATCCCATTTCACATATCTTTAACACCAAATCAAACAACTTTTTTGCTTTTTTATTTTCAAATGCCACATTTTATTTTTGAGAGTTTTATTTTTTTCTCAGTGAAGTTTACTGTGGCATGATAAAGATATCACCACTACCATCCCTCTCCCCCAGCCACAAAAAGAAAAGTGAATTTGACAGTGAAAAACTATTAAATTGTCTTATTTTTTGTTAATTGAAAGAGCTATGAAAGCTGTTTCTTCTCATTTAAAATTTTTTAAATTAAGAAAATACTAACTTTGCTGTATTTCATTCAGTATGACAGTGAAATTGGGGGATTATTTATATAAATTTATGGCTCCACAATTAATAGTTAACAAGCTATTTCACTTTCTATAATATGCAATACCCAAAGCTCACATTAAATAAATACATTTATTTAATGTGAGCTTTTTAAAAAGATATAAACATGGCTATTTAGAAAATTTTTTAAAAATTTAAAACCTGTTAAAATCACAAATGTCACAATATCTAAAAAATATATGTGTAATAATTAAAGGTCTGCCATACTTCTCTACTCTTTTTTTAGCCTTCGTTTTGTCTTAATGGTGTACAGTGTTATATATATTAGGTTATCATGGTCATCTCAACAGAAAACTCCTGTACATTAACTTTTTTTTCTTGCTATGTGGTCATAGTTGGATAGTATTATTCTGAACTATGTTAAATTGCTGGTTTTGTTGGTCAAAAATTAGCAATTTTATAATATATATTTAAGAAACAACCGAACAAAAGATCTTTTAGGACAGAGATATTGACCTCCCATTCCAACTCTTATCAGCCTATCAGAGGCTTTATGAAGGAAACTCTCAAACTACAGATAACCACAGGGCTACAAGAAAAGCTTTGTTTTGTTAAATTGTCCAGTTTTCACTGATATTTTATCAAAAATACTTAAGTAATTGAAGCAAATACCTCTGGGGAATACATAAGTTACATAACCTTTCATAAAGTCTTATGTGTCATTTTTAAGCTTTCATAACCTGAGATATTGTCATATATCAAAGGATTAGTCTGTAAACATCTTTTAAAGGCAAAAGAACTCCACCTCATATCTGATATGGATTCAAATTTTGCTGATAATAGAATTTTATCTTCTTGGTTGGCATTCTAAAATAAAACTATGTCATATAGTCAACAAGTTTCCCTTAAAATGCCATCTAAAGATTTTTATACCTATATTTCATGTGATAAGAATAAAAGTATGTGAATATAAAAATGTATAAAAATATGAAGCTTTGACACCTGAAATCCCCAAATTTAGTTACAGCTATGATCTAAAAGGTTGTAAATTGGGTTGTTTCAAACTCAGATGTTGTTACATCTCCTCATGTAAATAATATTATGAATAATAAGGGTAACAGGTTAGCTAAGGAGAGTTGATCTAGTGCACTCCAATATTAATCTGGGAATCTAGGTTTTGGATAAACTTTTGTAGTGGAGAAAGCTTACTTTGATCTCTCAGTAACTGCTTGGTACACTTCTTCCTAGGTGATACCATGAGCCCTGCCGGGGTACATGCCTTCTCCTTTACATTCCCTAAGATCTTCCTATCTGCCTTTTATCTCAAGTCTTCCTTCTCAGTAATTCCAAAGTGTAACTAATCTCAAGTGTTGGGAAGAAGGAAATTTGCTTTAACTTATTCATATTAAAGTATCAGTGACTATAGCCCTTTTACCTCTCTTAAGAGAAATCTGCATTTAAGAACAAACACATTACTGTTAGCACAAATTACTGTCAATTTGTAGAAGATTAAGTTTTAAAACAAAAGTGAGAATAATTTAATTAGTGTTGGTAGGACTATTGTGAGGTAAGAGATGTCATTAAATGACCTAACTTGGGAATCTGCCCCTCTTTCACCAAGCCCATGAGATGTCTGAAAGTGCTGTATGTTTTCAGTGACATTGAGGAAGGGAGCTAGCCATCTGTATTTATGGGTTATATGAAGTCAGGGCCTCGCTGATCCTATGTTTTCCGTTTAAGGGCTGTGTCTGGAGCATCCTAGGAATCCCTCACCCACACTATCCTTCTGAGATGGTCTGTGTTTCATTCTCAGGCAGCCCTGCCTTCCAGCTAGGCCTAGCTTACAGCTCTGCTCATTGATATTAAATTTACAGATGAATATTGTCCATTCTTGTTTTTTAAAAAAAGTCTTCATTTTACTGTTATTGACAATGACTACCACATTCTCCTTCAAGAGATGGAAAGGTAGAAAAGATATTCCTTTTACATTATTTAAAGAAAACTATTATTTCTAAATAGCTGACACTAAGCAATTTTGTTTTCAAACCTGTTTTGAATTAAATTGATGAGGTGATTCTAAAATTGATTCTAAAATTTTAATCTTGCTTTATCATATAAACATCTAGGTAGAAAGTGTTTATGCTAAAGACTTGTATTTTGTGGCATTAGTTCTTTATGTTTCTCTTTTGTGTATTTGAAATTGTTCATTCATTTCCAAACGAGTGGAAAAGTTACTGTTGTTGAGATGTGTATAGGGCAAGTGTACTTGATTAGAGCATGAACTGTATTTTCACATTAGCTGGATGTGCTTTGCACTCTGCTCTTGTAGATTTTGTTTACAGTAGACTACTGTCAGTTTTTGTAAATGTTTTTACTTAGCACTTTAACTGTGAGTGTAAAAACTGATTTTAAATGTAGTGGTTGTATATTTTGGTTATAAATTGGAAATTTTTAATAAATAAAATAATTTGTCTCTGTTTTGTATTAGTACCTGATTGAATATAATTTTTAAATCATCTTTAGACTCTTTAATATATTACACTGCTCCTATTAGGATATTCTTGTAATATTTTTTTCATTCATAATAACAGGATTCATATTAGTCGGGAACACAGAAATATATAAACACATACCATCCTTTACCATATCTCTTTCACACTTATTTTGCCAATATAAGAAAGACCCATCTCTGTTCGTTGTCATATCCTCAGTACATAATACTACTAGGCACATAATAAAGGGTCAATAAATCTCTGTTGCAAGAAGTGAATACATTGGACACAGCCCAGGGAGCTTTGTGACGCAGCTGCGCGGGGGCGGGGAGTGACCGCCGGGAGCCCAGCCCGCCCTCTTCCACTGCGGCCTTGGGCATGGAAACATCTGGCCCGCGAGCCGGAGGCCTGATTGCAGCCACAGCGCGCCACTCCGCGTCCCACGGCGCCGAGTCTCCCCATGTGCCCTCGCGAGACGAGCTCTCCGAGAAGTCCGCAGCCAGTCTGGGACATTTTGAGTTACTGGACCTTGCAGAATCTACTAAAAAGCCCTGGTGGTGCGGGCTGTTCCAGCAGGAATGTGGGCCCACCACTCAAAAGTATAGCGTGGCAACCCAGCTGTTGATTGGAGGTGTCACTGGCTGGTGCACGGGTTTCATATTCCAGAAGGTTGGAAAGTTGGCTGCAACAGCTGTGGGAGGAGGATTTTTTCTCCTTCAGCTTGCAAACCACACTGGGTACATCAAAATTGACTGGCAACAAGTAGAGGAGGACATAAAGAAAGCCAAGGAACAGCTGAAGATCCGTAAGAGCAACCACATATCCAAGGAGGTGAAAAGCAAAGCTGAGGAGATGGTGTCATTTGTGAAGACAAACTTGCTAGTGACTGGTGGGTTTTTCGGAGGCTTTCTCCTTGGCATGGCATCCTAAGGAGGAAGGACACTTCGCTTCCATTATTCCTGGTTTTTCTGCCTACTAGCCTCTTCACTCCATCATAGGACATGGAGTCTCCTCTTCTCTTCCTGTGCCTTCCTCCCTGCTGTAGCATATCTGAATGGCTTCCATAGGCATCTCTTCGTACAAACCGATAGGGCCCTACTGTGAGCTCAGGACAACAACGGAAGAGACCATAGACATTAGCTCTCCCCCCAGAACATTCCCCACTTGACTAATCTGTAGGTCAGCAAGAATGTTCCTTTCCCCCCTATATAAGATACTTATTTGTGCAAGGTAGCTCACCATGGAGGATGAGTGGATCCTCAAAGGTTGTCCCAAACTTACTATGTGCTGCATGGAAAGGAACTGAATACATTTGCCTTTAAGCATTAAAGAAAAAAGGAAAAACAAAAACACGAATACATTAAAGTATATCAGTTTTCCAATAGGAAATCCTACTTGTCTAAGCAAATCAGTCTTTGGGTTTTTTGTGTTTGTTTTGGTTTTTCTTGTTTTGTTTTTGCATAAGAAGACAGATGAGAATTTAAACTACTATTAGAGTTTCTTTCTTGGATCATACAGTTTTTAGTTGGAAGGGATCTTAGAAATCATATGGTTCAATCTTCAACCCAGTACAAAAATTCTTCAAAACCATTTTTTATAAGCCTCATACTTGAATAATTTCAGTACAGGAAGCTCACTGCTCTGTAAGGCCTTCCATTCCATTTTGAGGAGCTTAATTATTATAAAAGGCTTTTCATATATTAAATGGAAAATGTATTTCTTTGTTACCTTCACACATTGGTACTGCTCTACAGATACACAATAATTCCTTCACAGTATTATTTTCTAGGCATTTGAGAAAAACTATGCTGTTTCCTCCTAATTTTTTCTATGGGCAAAATGTCCCATTCTCCAATTCATGTCTTATTTCCAATTCTCTCATGATTTCCTGTTAAACCCAGTAGTTCCCTTCCAAATGACTCCAGTTATTAATATTCCTCTTAAAAATTTCCACAGAACTGAATATGTCCAGATTCTATAAAATCAGTGAAGACTTCAGTGTACACTATATTCTGTACATTACACTTCTGTTAACTCTATCACAGAAGAACTGGGCATCTTTTTTTTACAACCATCTCTCTTTAATCATTGAAAGGAGACAAAGACAGTATATATGCACTTTCATCTATTGTTCAAACTCTGTTTGCTGATGAAAGTCCAATATTTCCTTGAGGCACTGATTGATAACTATATGCCAGGCAGTGAACCTCAGAAAGTCCATACTCTTTTGACAATTTAATTAAGGTGGGAAAATATCCTAACTAATTGTTATACATTTGCCAAATTTAAGGCGTTCTCACTGGAAGGGAAGGGAGGAATTTCTGAGTGGTTTATTTTATGTTGATGATTCGCAGATTGAGTAGTAACCATAGCGTATGTGCTGGAGCACATAGATACACTGCATACAGTTTCTTCATCTGTAACATGAAAGGATTGGACCAAGCCAATGACTTTTAGGTATGGGATTCTTTCCTTCGCATAGAATATGGAGTCTCAGTACATAAACAGATAAAGACAGACTGTTTAAAGAGAAAGTGACAAATCCCACTTACTTGGCCTAGCCCTTCTCTCTCTCTCTCTCTCTCTTCATTACAGCATCCCTGAAGCACCTAGATGGAACTCCCATTTTATTACATTTTTTTTTATCCTCACCTGAGGACATTTTTGCATTTATCTTCAGATACAGCGGGAGGGAGAGAGGGAGGAAGAGAAAGAGAAATATCGAGTGGCTGCCACCCACACGACCCCAACCGGGACCGGGGACAAACTGCAGCTGAGGTACCCAAACCAGGGACACTCTGGTCTGCAGGCCGACGCTCTAACCACTGAGCAAAATTGGCCAGGGCAGAACTCCCATTTTAAAAATTACTAAATCATTCTGTATCTTGACTGGGGTGGTCACACAAATCTATAAGTGATAGAATTGCACAAAACTACACACACACAAATGAGTTAAGTGTAAAACTGGTGAAATTTGAATAAAATAGATGGATTATATCTATGCCAATTTCTTGGTTTGATGTTGCACTCTAGGTACAAAAAGTGTTACCATTGGAGGGAACTGGGTAAGAGTATTATTTCTTAAAACTGCATGTAAGCCCGGCCGGTGTGGCTCAGTGCTTGAGCATCGACCCCTGCACCAATTGACCCCGGTTCGATTCCCACTCAGGGCACATGCCCAGGTTGTGGGCCAATCCCCAGCGGGGGGCATGCAGGAGGCAGCCAATCAATATTCTCTCTCACTAATATTTCTGTCTCTCTCTCCCTCTCCCTTCTTCTCTCTCTAAAATCAGTAAAGGAGAAAAAAATTAAAAAACAAAACAACTGCATATAAATCTATAATTAACTCAAAATATTTTGCTGACTCCTGATTCAATCCAAGACATTATAAAACTGAGGCCTGGCCCTGGCCAGTTTGGCTCAGCAATTAGAGCATCGGCCTTTGGACCAAAGGGTCAAGGGTTCAATTCCAGTCGAGGGCATATACCTTGGTTGAGGTTGGATCCCCAGCCCTGGTTGGGATCATGCAGGAGGCAACTAGTCGGTGTGTCTCTCGGGTAAGGTTTAAAAAAACAAACAAAAATAAACTGAAGCCTGGTTAGCTGGAAGGCAAACCAGAACTAGGAAGCCACTTCCCCTGACTTTCAGAGAAGGATTTGTTCTACTAGAACAGAAATTCTCAAATTTTCTTTTGCATAAAAATCATCTGTGGGAGGGAGGGGAGGAAATTATGAAAAACCCAATTCTCAGCCCACTTCTCAGAGATGTAGATTCAGTAGGTCTGAGATAGGACCCAGGAATCTGAATTTAAAAGCACACATAATTCTCATGCCTATGTCCCAAGGACCATACTTTGAAAAACATCTTATTGCCCTAGGTAACAAGTAAATCCTTTGTATGACAGATGGACAAATAAGCAGGGGATGATGAATTGTTTTTGAATACTTCTCTAGTTGTTTTCCCTTCCCCTTTGTCCCAGAATCCCTTGCTCAGCAGCAGCTTGCCTGTGCCATGGGGTGGGCACATGGGAAGTATGCACACACCTGCCAGCTTGCCCAGTAGGTGCAGCACAACTCTGGGGAGGTGATGGGCCAGTTTTGAGTCAGCTTTACTAATGAGCATCACTTGTTGACTGATCCAGGGGAGGAACTCATTATTCACTTTTGGCTCAGAGCCTTCTCTTGTAGGATTGCAAATGAAGAGATGCCATACGGCTTCCATGTTCACCTCAGTGGGGAAAAGTGGAAAGATCATCAAAGCAGCAATTTAGTTCATGCTTATCATTGAATAGGGTCAGATTAGCTGGAAGAAAGCTTGTGGAGGCTGTTGGGCACAGAATTTTCACACTTGATCTATTCCTTTCTTTCTCAATGCATTACCCCTGCCCATCCCACCTTGATCCCTTGAATGGGGACATTGTTTGCTCCAAGTCATCCAAAAGAAAGCCTGTTCTTTTGAGCAATTTCTGACACACCTCCCCAGCCCCCACATGCTTAGGAAATATAACTCCTAAGAAAACAACATGAGGTTGAGAATATTATGTCAGGAGTTGCTGTTCCTGTAAAGGGACTGGCCTAATCCAGAAACTTCATTTCTTTTATTATCTGTATTTCAAACCCCCTATGGCACCTTTTTCTTGTAACTCTTCATCTCTTCATAAGAACTCTAGAATGAAAACCCTAGAGCCATGTATATATATTTGGAGTTAAAAATCAAGTTGGCAGCCCTGGCCAGTTTGGCTCAGCGGTTAGAGCGTCGGCCTGCGGTCCGGAGAGACCCGGGTTCGGTTCCCGCTAAGGGCACGTACTTCGGTTGCAGTTGGTCCCCGGCCCTGGTTGGTCGTGCGGGTGGCGGCGACTCGATGTGTCCCTTTCACGTCGATGTTTCTCTCTCTCTTTCTCTTCCTCTCTCTCCCTCCCACTCTATCTGTACAAAAAATGGAAAAATATCCTCGGGTGAGGATAAAAAAAAAAAAAAAAAAAATCAAGTTGGCAAATAAGCTGGAATGTATGGTGCTGAACTCCAAAATGCTTTCCTGTGCCATCCAGCTGCCTCTCCAAGGCAAGGGGAAAGACCTAGGGCAAAGATCCGATTTAGGCTGATGGTTGCACTATGGATAAAGCTACCTTCTTTAATCATAAGACCACACTGTACACAAGTGCAGAAAGGGAGATTCCTCCCTCCCCCCGAAAAGGGAGGTTCCTTTCATTCCTTCCCCGTTCTTATACCCCACAGGTACTGGATGGAGAGAAGCCTTCATTTGCCTCTCTGTCAGACTTTGTTCTTGCTGTCTATCCATGACATGTAGGACTTCTCTGGACCCCTGGACAACTTCTGAGCTGATATTGTATTGAATGAAAAATGTTTCATCTATGTGAGTCTCCTCCTTGAACAAAGGAGAGACAGGGGCCATGAGAGGTGAATGACTTGCTAAGATGACACTGTTCAGCAGTGTGGGTTTCCTTTGGATGTCACTCTAGAGTGGCTCATATCAGTAAGTGTTAAGACCATAGTGCTCCATCTTTGCTTCCACTTCTCTGTAACCCTGTCTGGACCAGGAGTTCCTTTTTTAAAAAATGTTTTTTCTATTTTTTTATCCTCACCCGAGGACATTTTTGCATTTATCTTCAGATAGAGTGGGACGGAAAGAGGGGAGAAGAGAGAGAGAGAAACATCAACGTGAGAGACACATTGAGTGGTTGCCACCCACATGACCCCAACTGGGCCTGACGACACACTGCAACTGAGGTCCGTGCCCTTAGCAGGAACCAAACCCGGGACTCTCCGGTCCGCGGGCTGACGCTCTAACCGCTGAGCCAAACCGTTTTTTTGTTGTTGTTTGTTTTTTTAGGGAAAGGGAGAGAGAGAGAAACATCCATGTGAGAGAGAAACATGATTGGCTGCCTCCTGCACGCCCCCTACTGGGGATC